TCCCAAGCCAGCTCTTAACCAACGTGCCACTCGGCTGGCCCCGGTGTGGATTTCTTTGTCAGGAGATTTCCAAGCAAAGGTTGGGTAACCCCTGGGAAAAGGATGTTGCAGTGCAGTCAATCATGGTGTGGCTGGACTGGATGACTTTTCAGTTCCCTTTTCACAGTGCCTGGCATATAATAGGCACTTAGTAAATAAATTAATAACTTAAAAAATGGGACAGGAGAAATATTATTTAAAACAAATATGTTTTTTTTTCTTAAACAAATGTGACTCTTAAAGTGACTTACTTGATTCTGTCCTGATTACAAGGAGAAACTGAGTGGGAAGAATATTTAACTTTATTTAGACCTAGGCTTGGTTGCTTTCTAATCCTCTTATATACCACAGGGCCTCATTAATTGTGTTGAGCTCTCCAGAACCTTTTTGAAATAACATGTGAAAGTGACTTCAAATTATGGAAGGGGGAGTTGTTGTTATTATTTGGAAATTCTCATTATTATTTGGAAATAGTCTTGTGTATGCTAATGCTGATTCTAAATTTAGAAATAATTAACTTAAATTCTTAACGGGTTTGAATTGTGTTTAATGTAGAGGGGAGTATGTTCAATGTGTTGCTTTTGTAGGTGCATGTGAGGGAACGTTGGCTTGCTCTACTTGTCACCTCATCTTTGAAAAGCACATATATGAGAAGTTAGAAGCAATCACTGATGAGGAGAATGACATGCTTGATCTGGCGTATGGGCTAACAGACAGGTAAGATTTTCAGGCCACTTCAGTTATACTAATCTGGGAAGATAAAGGTTTTACTAGTTCATGTCTAAGACCAGACCTATGCAAGTAGTGTTTTCCTGGCGTAGATAGGTACCAGAAACTTTGATTATCAAATATGTGACATTTCACTATTCTACAGTTGAGCCCTTATGAAAATTTTTTTTTACAAAGTTAAAGAAAAATTAATTGGAGGTATTGGAAGTATAAGTTTTAGATCCTAATAAATCTTTAGTCTGTTTTTGTTTCAGGAATTAATATTTATCACAATTTAATGAATTGGAATTACATTTAATGCTTTATGGTATTGAAGGACCGATTTGATAATTGAATGAAATTATAATGGG